GGAAGGACAGATCCTGTAGCTGAGGCTCCAATACTTTAGCCATCTCATGAGAGGAAAAGCCATCTCCCTGGAAAAGACCCTGATGTTGGGAAAGTGTGGGGGCAAGAGAAGGGGACGACAGAGGACGAGATGGTTGGACAATGTCATCGAAGCTACCAACATGAATTTGACCCAACTCTGGGAGGGAATGGAAGACAGAGGGCCTGGCGTACTCTGGTCCATGGGGTCACAAAGAGTTGGACACAATGTAACGACTAAACAACAACAACAACAAGAAGGTATGTACATTAGGTACACACATACCTAATATTCTTAATTAATACATATTTCTATTAATGGTCTAGTCAAGAGTCTATAGCCCAATTGGTGAGGCAGTTATATAGGAATAAATGCAGAAAGGATGGATAATGAAACTAATACGGCCAAAATGGCAGTTTGATTTGCTTTTAGCAAACATTTGTGCAGCTAGAGATTGTTTGTTGATGCTTGTGGCATTCGCCCCTTGTGCCCCCTTGCTTGACTGTCAAGACTCAGAGCACTCAGGAAAGCAATAATAAACCTAGACAGCACCTTAAAAAGCCACCCTTTCCCTCACCCACACACACACATCTATCCACCCACCCTCCATTTCCTCCCTCCCTCCATTTTCTCCCTCGATTTTCTACATACATTTAAATAAGCTTGATGAAGTCCTCGGTCTTTCGCACCTTTCTTCCCTGCTTGCTCCTTGATCCTTTCCCTCCTGCTGCTTCTTTGCAGTCATTTCCGGAGGAAGCAGTCATTCAGAAGCCCAGGATTGATTGATTGATTGTCTGGGGCTAATCCACAGCTGCAACCAATCAAGGAGCTTATCTCCGATCTCTGAACTAACAGGATTTATAAGTGCCTGCTGCAACCAGGAAGTAACAGGGAGAGGTGGCTTACAATTTGAGATTTGGCAGGGAGGGAGGGGTGTAGCACTCTGCTCATTACCCCCAGGATTTTCACTTTTACCTCATTTGGGGTAATTTACCCCTGTTCCCCGACCACTGGTCTAGCCTCAGCTTCAGCTTTTTCTCTGATTTCTAGTTGTCTTTGTTCCTGCTCAAAAGCAATTTGTTTGGCCTCTTGCTCAGCTCTGATTTCTAGTTCCCTTTGTTTGGTCTCTTGCTCAGCTCTGAGCTGTAGTTCCTTAAATTTAAATTCCTGTTCCAGCTTCCATTTTTCAAACTCCTGGGACCTTAATTCCTTTTGTTCCTCTGAGACCCCCTCATCAGTTTTTTCCTGTTCTATTTGAGATAAAGGGTCACCATTTCCCTCCATTTCTTGAGGTAAAACCTCAGCCTCAGGATTCCCCCTTTTGATACTTTTGGGTAGCATATTTACTTCTGGGATGATTAGTACAGAGTGTTTATTGATTTTAAAAGGACATGTCTTTCTTCTTTACTTCTAGTTACTAAAATAATCCTATTTCAAGCAAAGGCTTTTTCTCTCTTCCCTCAGATCTGCTCTGACCCCTGGCTTCTGCTTTTCTCACAAGCCTCTCTAAACTCTTAACATCTTGAGCCTTAAGTTAGCCCACTGGTCTTCAAATCATGAGGTAAAAATACAAGAATTTTCTTTCAGAGTCATTCCCTAAATTAGACCCCCTCCCCAGATCTGGGTTCAGAAGCCCCCACCAGTAAGCTTTTCCCAAAAACTCTAGTGAGGAAGCAAACTTCTTTGCTATTGACCTCAAAGAATAAAAGGTACCTTTGACTCAAGAAAATTCTTTTTAAAATCAGGCTTGACTGGAGTTCCTCGAGTCCAAACACAGGCTTCACTGGATTCTTTTGTATCCTGCCACTGGACACCAATTGTGGCATTCGCCCCTCGTGCCCCCTTGCTTGATCATCAAGACTCAGAGCACTCAAAGGCAAACAATCCCCTCTTTTACACTGCTGCCACCAGGTGATCACTAAATCACCCTTCAGGAAGATGAAGATTCAGGTCCAAACTTCAAAGTCTTTTAAATTTAACTTTTGTTTATTAATTACAGAAATTGATAGTGATTCATGAATATCTTCTATAGGTAAATTTATTATTAACAACAATCTTCTATTTGATAATACACTCCTAACTCTAATCACCTCTTAGATTTCCCCAAACTCCACACTCTGTCTCCTTCTCCACTCTCTCACGGTACTCATACTCTCTCTCTGACTCCTTCTCAGGCTCCACCTCTTATCACATCTCTCTCGGCTCTGCCTCTCAGCAACATGAATATGCATGAACAATTAACATAACAAACATGAACCATTGACATAATAAAGGGGAACACTACAATGCTGTTTCTATGGAATTGTTTGAAAGGTTGAAACTGGTATGTTCCTTTTCTACCAGTTCCTTTCCTTTTGTGATGTGAGAAATGCTGGATTTATTGTGACAGCATTCTGAAAACATGGATGGTAAGTGACCGATAGGAGAGTCACCAGAATGCCAGTGTGTTCTTATTTTCCCCAAATATGAGACAAGATGGAAAGAAGGACTAATGTTCCTAGCAACTGGTACATTGCTTTCTATCTCTCCAACTAAAATAGGCACCAGACTCCATTGGCTCCCCTTCATCACATGGTAAGCACTGGCAAGGATATACTCTACCCATGTATTTGCATGCCAATGTGGTTGTGCAGAGTCAGCCATAGAACTACAGCGAACCTCATGTTCAAAGGTTTGCTTGCCTTTTAGAAAATAATAGAGCATTCTTTGAGACCATTCTTTGGAATCCTTGCTTCTGTTCATTCTTTAAGTAAAAGTTGCTTCTGAATTGAACAGAATCTTTGGCTCCTACACATTGTATTCACCAAAATACTTGCAGCATATAATAAAAATCTCAGAACTCATTGGGTTAATTTTTTTTCTATAGGTTGTTTTCCCCCGTTATATGTATTTCTTTTTAATTTAGCGCCTTCAACTCAAATTAGTTGTTAACCTTTCTTGAAAACCAGGGAATAGTGTTGGCATTTCAAGGTGGCTCCTGCATCTGTTATTCTTTAAGCTCTTGCTAACCTATAAGGGCTTGAGAACTATTTTAACAAAGAACACTTGGGAATTGGCTTATTATACATGTTGTTGCTGGTCTACCTTTTCTTTAGTAATTTGATTTTTCTTGGAAAATAAACTTGTATAACACTGGCAATCATAAAATAGAAAAAACACTGTTTAAATTATGCTTTGCAATGAATTGTGAAACCACCTGTTCTTCTTCCAGTAACTAGCTCGAATTGTGTTCTATTCACCATTGTTTTCCTCTGTTCTGTACAAAGCAAGCTGACACTGATTTATACACCTGCTAGTAGTAGCTTAGCAACATCATTCAGGAAATTATTCTTAGGAACTTCTCTAAACACAGTATGTTAAACATAACCATTACCAGTTGTAAAACAGAGGTCAAGAACTGTCCAGCACCTTCTTCAAAAGGAATGGTTGTTTATTTCATTGAACCAAGAGAGGGGAAAAAATCTTAGCAAGACCTTTCCCACTCCAGCTATAATATGAAAAAAATGCATTTTTAAAAAGTACATTATACTTAAATTTCAGGTTGAATTGAACTATGTTAACTATTGAATGCCACAAATGTTTTGAGAGAAATCCTGTAGCATTGCTTAAAACATTGTACAGTAATGTGTAAATTGAGTCCAAGTGTCAGGGAAGACCTGGAGTATTCCTTGTTTACGAGTACTAGCTAAGTATTAAAGCATCTCTCACTCCAAATGTGTATAGTTTGCATTTCTAATTTAAACACTTGCATTGACATATCTACCAAAATCTTCTGCTTACCATGTTACAGGATACACAATGATACATGCTGGAAGCAAATTTGGAGGTTATCTGTTCAACCTCTTGCTCAGGACAAAATCTACAAAGCAGGTTATATCCAACAGCATGCCTGATAATTGACCATCCAGCCTCTGCTTAAATGGCTCAGTGAAGGCAAGCCAGCCAATCCCCAAGGCAGTAAAAAATGTTTTATGATGTACGACATACAGTCATAATGGTGGGCTGGGTGCTGCCCGAATTACTTTCCTATGCTGAGTGTTCTGTTTTGAAGCTGCACCATGTTGAGTAGATTACTGTGACTTTTAATATCTCATGTTGGATCTTGGTGCCTTGAGAGTGTCTGGTAGAATGATCCTTTCAGACATTGGTGGCTGGTGACTCCAGTTTTGCTGAGCTTCCAGCCCACTCAGGGTTTTAGGTTGCACTTCGCGATAGCTATCCAAAGTGCTGAACCCTGTCTCCAAGATAGGTTCAGTACCTTGGAGAACTCTTATGAAGTGCAGACTAAACCTGGAGTGGATTCAAAGCCCCCCTGAAACTGGATTCCTCTGTTGCCATTGTTTTGAGGATGGAATCATGTAACTGTTGTGTCTTATGCCTGGCATTTCACAGCCAAGAATTCTATTTTCCAGAGAGCCAGCTTTTCACAGAAAGGTTATTTCCAAAGGGTTCTTAGTGCAGGAAATGGTAGGGTTCCTTTTTTTACTTCCAAAGATTAACAAACACACGTGCCAGTGGAGATTTCAAGTATTTGTTTGTTTGTTTAAAATATGTTTACCCCACCTTTCTCCTTAAAAAGGGCTCAAAGCAGCTTGCATAATTAAAAGACAATATTTAAAAGCTAAAAACAGTAAGTATACAAATATTAAAAGAGAATTAAACTATTATATGAAAAGTGATGAAGGAAATCAATACCAAAAACAAAGCAACGGAGCACAATGATCTATTCTAAAAACTTCTTCAGGGCTATTCTGTGCTTTTAAAACAAATAGGGATAACATTTTGGGGCCGGTTGCCAAAATGACTTTTATGTTACCAGACCCATCATATAGCCACCTCTCTCCAATTAACTTTAAAGAATTAATTTTGAATTTTGAAAGGGCAGCTGCCCCCCAAAAAAGGAAAGAAAAAAAAAGACATGACTTAAAAGAACAGAGAGCTAATTTGATTTTTTTTTCTTCTCCCTTCTGTGCTCCTTTTAGGTGATGTCTCTCCAGTGCACATGAATCCTATTTCACAATCCCAGTTTGTTCCTTTGGCAGAAGTCTTGTGTTGCACTATATCTGATATGAATGCGGCTCATATTACTGTTACACAGGAAACCTTACTGGATCAGCTGGGGAAACATTACCCAGGTAATCTGTTAAATCATGGGCTGCTGACACTTAATATAAACATTCAGCTTGGAAGGTTTGCATCGAGCCAAGTGAAAGAATGCAGTGCTCTCGGAATTGGAAAGTAATTGGAATTGCCTCTGTAAATCCTAGAGCCTAATTGTTCTAACTTGCTTTGCATTGCAAATAGGGGTTTTAGTAGTCAAGCAAATTAATGGAGGAGTGGGGATTATGTTAAACATCAGAGCATAAAGTTAATAATGTGGAAACCCAGCAACGGAGGCAGTAATACAAAAGAAAGCCGCTTTCCTCCCCTGATGTTTCAGAGTCTGACGCAGATGTGCTTTATGTATCTGCATCACAGAGCAGGCAGAGGTGCACCCAGGGCTTCTCATAAGGGATTCCCCTCCTGTTACAACAACAGGCACATTGCTAAGTTACAAATACTCTCCTCCCCTTTTTCAAATACACCCTCACTTAATTGGACCTATGACCAAAGTGGCAAGGATATTGGGGTGTTCTGTTCATCCTTGTCAGGTCCAGTGAAATAATGGGAGCTGGTTCACACGAAGGCAGTGGCCTTGTTTGGTGATGTCTTGACAGTGTTCTAAGTCCACCTTCGAGCAGAATGGGTCTTTCCTCCTGAAGAATAGCAGAAGCAGATTTTCCCTCTCTGGAAGGTCTTTCTGCACTCACTGGTATATCCGAATGCACTGGAGAAAAACAATTAGCCTGTCCACACTGGCATATAGTTATGATATAGGGCAGTGGTCCCCAACAGTTTTTGAATCGCAGACCAGTTTGGGGTGGGCGAAGCAGCGGCGGCTGTATCTTTGTGCATGGGTGGGTGCGCAGGGCATCCCTTAAAGAATTAGAAATGGTGGTACCAATGGAGCTCCACATTCTCCACAAGCACCTGGCCGCCGACCTCTTCCATTCAGTGCGCATGTTGCAAGAGAAGGCTGGAAGCTCACGAGCCCACTTGGGAAGGGAATAGGAAAAAGCCAGGCAATCCCTATCTTGCGGGTGGCAGGTTTGGAGGCGACACCATTGCTTGCTTTTCTCCTTATGGGCATGAAAGAATGAACTTCCAGAAAGGCCCCACCTATGGAATGGAGGGGTGTTCTTTGGCCCCACATCCAAGGGACAGAACACCCCAAGGGATCAGTCACAGTTTTGAGTCGTTTCCTGATTGACTCATTCATTTGTTTCAGTGAGTAGAGTCTTCTCCACCCACTCCTGCTCTTTCTAGTAATGAGTGCCTGGGCAAGATGCTGGATATTTGGTGTGGAGCGGGGGAAGGGACAATAAGTAATACCCTCCTGCTTGCCGCTCCTGTGTCCCTGTGTCCCGGTTCCAGTCCGTGGACCAGGGGTTGGGGGCTCCTGGTACAGGGAACCCTGATGGCACTCTGGCACTAAACAAAAAAGACCTTGTCTGCTTGTGTTCTACTTAGAATGATTCATTCTTCCCCTTTAAGAGCTGTCCCACACTGGCACAGGGCTAGGGCATGCAGTCTTTTTGGCACAATTCATTGAACTGAAAAGTAGCTCTTTGTTTTGTCTTTGTGGACAGGTACTTTCACACTGAGGTGACAACCCTGTGATATATTAGGTGGGCTGTGGCATTAAAAGAGAGGAGTGGAGAAGTCCCCTCCTCTATTTATTTGTAATATAACCAAGGCAGTGAAATTCTAAAACCATGCCAGGCTGATGCATTGCCATTTCATTATGCCACTTACTCTTTTAAGGAACAAAAAAGTCACCCCTGAAGACGATCTGAGAGGAAAGGCAGGGAAGGAGGTTATGTCCCTTGGGCTCCACCCCACAAGCCAGTGCAGCCCCAGCAGAATCCCAGCTGAGGAGAAAGGCTGCAGGAAAAAAAAGGGGGGGAGAGGGTTAACCTCCCTTCTGTCTCTCCAATGTCCATCTCAGTGTTTTCCCCTTGGCTTGGCTGCAGTTGCTGCCGCCTCCTTACTTGTGAGTAAACCTGGTAACTCTTGCTTTGTATGGATCAGTAGCATGAGAGAAGAGGATCAATATCTCCAATGTGGCACAATATCTCCAATATGAACAATAGGATTGCGTAAGTGAGAGATGAAATAGATTGCACTTAAGAAATTTTTAAGTGTGGACAAGACCACACCAAATTTCCCAGTGTGGACAGGCTCATTAACAAAAAGGCTGCTGAGACCAAAGAAGATAGCTTTGAGTACATTCCACGAGGTTTTACTCACAATTCTGTTTCTCATACTTTAGTGGGAGACAGTATAATGCATTGATTGAGAAAGTTCAACTGAGAGCCAAGAGGTTCTGGATCAAGTCTTAATTTTGCAATGAACTTGTTTGAAACAAACTTTTATTTCTGTTTCAGTACAACTGCAATATGAGGATAAATCATACTCAGCTATCATATAGGGCTATCATTTGGTAGGGGTGTTGTATTCAAACAGGCTGGAGGAGCCCGCCTCTCCCTCCCAGCAACTGTGGAGGAATCGCACCCAGGATTGTTCACTGACAAATCATTTTTGGTCCATGAGCATCCAGTTCATTGGTGCATCTTTTAAAAGGCATATATGCGCCCATCACTGTCCAGTCACAAGTGTTTTTGCTAGCACCCTGAGCTGGATGTCATCTCTTCCACTCTTGGACCTCAGTACAGATTTTTGGCAGCAAATGTAGGTGTACAACAAATTCTTTATTCCAGTTTGCTTTATTCCAGTACAATAGGTTTTTCACAGTTGAAAGATCTGCTGCTAATATAAAATTAATAATGGGGGAAGCTGATGGTGAAGATGTCTTTTTTTTTGTTCTGTTTCTTATATACTAAAAATGAATGGTTCAGTAATTTCTGTAGTGGATGGTGTGGAATCATGGAGTCCCAAAGAACTGAGAAGATATCTCTGTTTTATGCTTGCTGGTAGCCCTATTGTGAGGATTACTGAGATAATAACTGAGTAGTCTGTCAATATGTCCCACAAAGCAGAAGCCTTCCACCTAGATGTCATTGCTGCCATCAGGTTTCTTGCTGCCTTTCATGATTTTGAGTGTGTATTTGCTTCCCCCTACTGTCTCACTAGAGAAAATACCCTGTATTTAGCATTAAAGGAAGACAGAGTGAGCAATGCTGGGGGATCTGGGCCCCAGTTTTGATGCCCTGGTGTCTTACATTGGCTATGTCCTCAGCAAAAATAGTTTTTCTTTAACGGGAAAGAGAAAGAGAGAGAGAAGTACCCTTTTCCTAAGACTAGAACCTATGCCTTGCTAATATATATATATAAATGAAAAATCTTGTGATAGGGTCCTGCATTGGTTTGGAGCCACAAAAACAGGTTAGGGATGCCTGCACCTCATGCTCTGTATGCTGCCAACCTCTGTTACAGAATAAAAGTCTATAGATCCATACAATTCAAATGGCACCAGAAACAAATCATGGCACATCTGATTTCCCGTCCAGCTTTTCAGCTAGTCATGCTCTCCTCCAGGATATTCCATACTACCTGTCCCTCATTTTCCCTCATAACAGTGAGATAGCATTCTGTCACCATTGAACACGCCAGTCTTCATTGTTCTGAGGGTTTGCCATCTCTTAATTTTGCTGTAGCATTATTTGATGCTTCTGCAAACTTGGGGTTGGTCTGAGCTTGTGAATATCTCTCATTGGTTCATAGATGGTGCCATTTTGGTTATACAACAAGCCATATCTGTTCACTGTTAGTGGATACTGAGCTTGCATAGGGCCATATGTATTCTGAGCAGGCCATGGGGTGTCTTACTCAAAAATGTTGTGGTGGGCCACTCCCAACCTGAAACTGCCAATGATTTTACATGCATGCATATTAGCAACTGGCTTTAGCATGAAGCAACCTGATGCTTCTGGGGGCAGAATTTAGAGATTATGTCATTTTTTCTGCTTCAGACACAGTATCTACCATTAAAAAACACAGCTCTTCATCTATTCTAAAGATGGAGTAGGATAAGATAATTTTTCTTTCAGTTTTACTTGGTTAATTTATGTCTTCAAAACTAACTTCTAAAAGCAAAGTTGCATTGAACTAAATGAAATTACTCTCAAATCCAGTTGCTTGTATATTTACACGCCAGTAAGAAAATACAACATTTTTCCTTATGGAAAAGTACAATCTTGCAGCCTCTTAATGGATCTCCAAGCCAGCTGCCTAAGATATCCATCTCACACTGCCAATGGTAAAGTCAGGTGAGCTGTTTACAAGTGATGATTGTTTGCTTGCTTGTTGCATTTTTATTCAACCTTTCCACCAAGAAGCTTCTCCAACTTTATCCTCAGCCTTGTGAAGTGGGGCAGGTTAAGAAACTGACTGGCCCAGTTCCATTTCACAGCTAAGTGAGGATTTAAACCCAGGTCTTCTGAATTGTCTCCAACACTCTAGCCACTACAGTATCGGCTCTGTGATGTTCTTTTGTTCAAGATGATTTTTGTGTGTGTAAAAAATGAGTCTTTGTGCTTTATAGTAAAAGATACAAATCTTATGCTATATTTGCTATAGCAGTGTATTTCTAGCTGCAGAAATTCCTGATGGCCTGTTCATGATCTGGTTATTCTAATCTCCCCGTGCAGCCATGGCTGCATTTGGCCTTGGCTGATTAATTCATCAGCTTTCAGTCTCATTTTCCCATTTGTAAAGAGATTAAGTGTTCAGACCTATGCACGCTTACTTGGGAGTAAGCCCCATTAATGGCATTTACTTAAAAACACACATAAGAATGTGCTGTATAAATGATTTACCACAAGGGTGGATTTGATTTAAATTGTTAGTCAGTAAGCATTTTGTTAAAAAATCCAAATTAAATTAAAAAAAAATAATTTAAAAATGTAAATAATATTTTTAAAATATAAAATACTATTGATTTGATTCATTATTTAAATTGAATAGATTTAAATCAAATCCACCTTGATTACCACATACATTTATTGTGGGCCTCAAAGTGATAAGGCAGCGAAAGTACTTTGTATACTGAATATGTTACAGAATTGAATATGCTCTCATTCTTACTGTTGTAGGTATTGCAACTCCTACACATGATATTCTCTACAGCACACTTGGATTGTTAATTAAAGAACGGAAAATATATCACACTGGAGAAGGATACTTCATAGTGACCCCTAACACCTATTTTATCTCCAATAATGATATGTGGATCAACAAGAGAGTCCTGCTGGAAGATAGTTGCCCTCCAGAGGCGTCTGTCACGTATCTTGTCAGCATGGAGGATGCTGAACCTGAGCAAGACAATTTGCCTGCCGCATCTCACTGCAGGTCCTGTCACTGTTTCCTTGAGCACATCACAGGAGGTGAAAAAAGATTTCCTCAGTTAGTTAGGCAAAAATCTAAGGGGAAAAGTCAAAAGGGATCATGTGAATCCAGATTCTCCGTTCAAAAACCAGCCTGTGATACATCTGCTGGCAACCATTCTTGTGAAACTGCTCACTCTGGACAGTTAATGAAGGAAAAGGAGAAAGTGAAAAAATTTGGGCTTAGCCTTTTCTGGCGTAACACTTCAAAGAAAGGAAAACCTAAAAAAGTGCACTCTTCATTTTCTGCCCAGTTTCCTCCTGAAGAATGGCCAGTCAGGGATGAAGATAATTTAGATAACATTCCACGTGATGTTGAACATGAAATTATCAAGCGCATCAACCCTGTACTAACTGTGGACAACTTAAATAAACACACTGTACTGATGCAGAAGATAGAGGAACAGAAGAAATATATAAGTAAAGGAACGTCTACAGAAGTGTTGACAATGAAGCACAAACATGTTTCTAAGGGATGCACCCAGAAAAAACAAAATAGGCCGGCAAAGCATTACAGGAAAATCCATTCTAACAAAGAAAAACAGATCCCTAAGGCAAAGAAAGAATTTAAAAGTAATGAGCTCATTCCAGTGCATGGCAAATTGGATAACACTGTTGAACATCCATTCTCCTGTACCACAAATGAAGCTACAGTTTGCAGTAAACCGTTTTGTGAGGATGCAGTAGACACCACATCACACTTTATATACAAAAGAGAAATTAACAATCCATTTCAAGATATTCCATGTAGAGGAAATAAGTCAACAAAAGAACGTAAAAGTCAGAAAAAATGTGACAGAAAGTCCAGAACTCCTAGATCAGAAATGACTTCTCGAAGGTCCCAGTCTTTGGATTCCTCAAGAACTGCACACTGTAAAGCCAAACAATCATTTGCTGCCAAATATGATGTTGAAGCAGACAAAAAGAAACAGCTAAACTGCTCCCAATGCCAGGTTTCACAAGCGGATAGCAAATACTGGAGAGAAAGGGAAAATTGTAAACATAATTTGCATGGAGGGGCAAAACCACCACATGCAGTGAAGGTCCAGGTGGTTCCTGACATTGGAGGAATAGAAAAGAAGTATACACAGAATTCCAGCCATACCTACCAGTGCAAACTAACGGGTGTTTACAACTTGCTGGGTCAAAATTCAGATCATCTGCAAAACGTTTGTCTTCCCAGTGAAGCAGATACTGCTCAGCAATTTAACCAACCCGAAAATACTGTTGCTCAGAGGAAAAATAATCATTTAAAGAGTGAACTAGACTCTGATAATACCAGTAAATGGCTCGAATCTTTTAACTCGCAGTGTAAAGGATTCATTTGTGATGAAGAGATTCTGGGTCAGAAAATGGATAATGGGGATGCTTGCAGTTCTGTGTATCATGATGATGAACAAAAACAACATGGGGAGTTGTCCAAGTTACAGACCATCCAAGTCCCATGTAGTTCTCCAGATACAGGGAAGTGGAGCAGCACAGAGCAAGAGACAAGTCCTAGAGTTTTAGGAAACAGAACCAGTTTCCCAGGATGCAGAACTGATCTGGATGAGGCTGATAAGGGCAAGCAGGAAAAAAATGAATTTCTTATTAGTTCAAAGGATAGCTTACAGGAGTATCAGAACATGAACCTTGAAGGAGAAGGTTGTGTGTGCCAACAGGTACCTGAGTTTCCTTACAAAAACCGTGACGAGGAAGGGGATGATTATGATCATGAGCAGACATCAGCTATGACTGAACCCTGTGCATTTGCCTTCTATGACGTTCATGAAGCAGAGACCAGAATTTGGCAGAAGTCAATAAATGAATTGGGTGGGAAATCAGCACCTTTCACACAGTCACCAAAATGCTGGGAAATTAAGGCAAACTTTGAAATAAAGCAGCGGGCACTTGATAGCACAAACAATGCTACCGTTTTCGAACAGAGAGCCCAGCATGAGCAAAATCACTTGGAAGGAACAGGGAACCACAGCATCACAGGAGACAGTGGAATAGATTCTCCCAGGTAGGAACAAATGTTAGTGACCTTTTTTTCTGACACAAATATCTATCACATGCAAGGTTCTTTACGATGGTGTGCTGATAAGTATTGAGCCTTTCCCAGAAAAAATTGAGCTAGGAAGCTGTAACTGCCACACTATTCTACATATTCCCCCAAGAAGTCAATGCACTTGCGACATCTGTCCTGCAGCTTCTTAAGTTCCTGCAAATAAATTCTTCCGACTGCTGGTGTAACCACTCATTTGCAGCATTAGTTGCCTGCAGAACACTCCCAAATTGTTGTCTCTTTATGTGTTTTGGAGTTTGGGGAACAGATAATAGTCAGAAGGAGCCAGGTCGGGAGAATAGGATGGATGGGGCATCACTTGAAAGCCTAAGGACGTCAGTTTTGATTGTCAGTTTTTCACCTGCAATGTGTGATGAGGGGTTGTCATGGAACAGAATGAAACCTTTGGAGAGCTTTCCTCAATATTTTTCCTTGATGTTTTGCCTCAACTTCATCAATAAAGCACAGTAATATTTTGCATTGATGGTTGAACCCTGTTGGAGGTAGTCCACCAGCAGACTCCCTTCTTATCCCCAAAAACTGTTGCCATTTGCTTCTGCACCAACCTTTGCACTCGGAACTTCTTTGGCTTGGGGGGGAATCACTGTGCCTCCATTCCTTAGACTGTTCCTTTGTCTCAGGATCATAACAGTAGATCCATGTCTCATCACCAGTTACCAGTTTGCCCAGGAAATCTGACTCATTTCTTGCAAAATGTTCCAAAACAGCCACCGATGACTCCACACGGTTCCTCTTTTGTTCAGTTGTCAAAAGTTTGGGGATCCACTTTGCTGCCAGCTGTCTCATTTCCAAGTTGCTGCGGATAATGGCACCAACTCTCTCACGTGATATTCTCAGATATATAGCAATACTTTTGGCGGATATTCGGCGGTCCTCCATGATCATGACATGGATGGCTTTCACATTTGCAGGCACAGAGACAGAAACAGGCCTTCCACTGGGTTTCTCACTTTCAACACCGAAATGGCCAATTTTAAAATTGACAACCCAACATTTAACTGTTGCATACGAAGGGCTACTGTCACCCATAGTTTGTGACATTTCATCATGGATCTGCTTTGCACCTTTCCCTTGGAGAAACAGGAACTTGATTATGGTCCTATGCTCTTCCACATTGAAGTTTTCTGGAGGTGCTGCCATGTTCACTTTTAACCTGAATATGAAAGGTAAGTTAAAATCATAGGTAGTTGATTTTTGCACCATTGAATACAGACAAATTGGCCAATACACTCTGCAATTTATAGCTTTCTAGCTCAATTTTCTTCTGGGTAAACCTCAATACTTATCAGCACCCCCTCGTACATGTTCTTCATGAATGTCAGGAATGGGATACCAGAATGTAGCAGTGTTATTTATTTGTATTATAACTCCCAGACTCATCCCCAGTCATGTTGGGTGGAGGAATTCTGAGATTTGTAGATGAAACAATGTTTTCCTGCTCTGTGGGATATATGTGGTCTTCTGGATGTTGTTGCACTGCATCTTCCATCTGTCCTAGGCGAATACAACCAGCAGTAAGGGTTGATGGAAGCTGTAATGCTGAAACCTTCTGAGGGCTATCCATTTCTCAGCCCTAATACAGCCCTTTAATGAGTAGGGTTTTTTTTAGGAATTTATAAAAACTCAAACTTGAAAGCACAGTCTCATAATGTAACATTTTTATTTTTTTCCTCCTTCTCATTGAATACACTGATGTGATATCCTAATGAACAATGACAATTTTGTTTATGTAAGACTCTTTGATATATATTTTAAATGAGTATTGCAAACATAAACTTTACTACAATTTGTACACCCTAAGTTCTTTCCAATAGCACCTCAGTGGGAGCTGTTTGAGGAAACAAGGAAGAATGAAAATATGTTTTCGAAGCCAAATAAGAACAAAAGCCCAGATAAAGCAAACAGCTCCAAGTGTACAGACTCTAAAGCCATAAAATAAAACACAGATTCATATGCAAATACATAAAATCACAGCATGGATTCACTCTTCAGGTACCCCTCCTGCACAATGATTTTGAAATTTTACCATCAAAGCCAAAATGGCAAGGGCCTTCTCCTCCTCCAAGACAACAGCACTTTCTGCCTCTCCACCTCTCTCCATTTCTCAGCTCAAGTCTTGAATCACATCTCCTTCCTATGATTTCTGCACCCACTGGGCCGAACCAAACAGTCCATAGGGGATCCACTTATCAGGGCCAAAAACCTGTTGCTTAGTATAGTAAATCTCATGCAAATAGACACATTGATTCAATGGGAATTTGGGAATCAGTTCCTCCATAGCTTCAATTGACTCAAGTGGGCCTACTCTAACTGCAACTTACTTTAGCACAGTAAGCCACAGTTAGAGTAGACCCATTTAAATCAGTGGAACTTACAATGGAACTGACTCACCAAATTCCCATTGAGTCATTGCGTACACTCTAGTGTGATTTACTACACTAAACAATGGTCATGGTTTATTTATTTATTTGTAACATTTGTAGGCACCCTTTCTACCAACAAGAGGACAGGTTTTAAAGTTGATTTTGTAAAGAAGATACAGTATAAACTAAGCTATAACTAAATCTGGATGGGTATTCTCATCAGATAAAGGTGCAAAACCAGATCAAATCAGGACAGCTGTCAGATTTTGGGCGAGGGGGGGAGGAGAACATCATGGAGCAAGCTGCTGCTGTTTAAACTGGGGCTACAAGGAAGGTCTGCCTCCTGCTCCCTTCTTTTTTGCTCCAGATTGTTGTTGTGGTGGTGTAAATACCAGCCAATGCCTGCTAGCCTTAGCACCATAGGAAACACTTCACCAACATTAATCCCATTGGCTACCCACCCTCTGCAGTTTATTTTTTTCTTTTTGCAGTTTTTGGTGAAGGAATGCAATGATAATCAGTTCATGCCAGCCTTAGTGCCACAGGGCAGGGCTTCTCAAAGTGAAGAATGCATGCAGAGGAAGGGTCTTTCATGCTTCTCACAGGGTATTTTTTAAAAAGCTGATTTCCCAATGATCTTAGGCTGAGAACCAGCCTCTCCTCTGACAAAATGAGCTCAGAATGTTAGCCGTCAATAATAGCTGCAAAGCTCCTCCAGAACAACACAAAATCCTGTTGGAAAATACCATCTGCATAGTGGAGATTGCGCAGGTGGTCTTCGCAATTTTCTTGTCTATTGTGTAGCCACACACACAAATGAGGGTGTAACCAGAGTCAGTCTGAGCACACAATAACCAGCCAGCACAACTGTGCACAACGGTTGCATGAACAGCAGAAACCCAATCAGATTTTGGCCATTAACTGTTATGATAACACTAGGTACCTGCAAGGGGCAACAAGATAGACAGTACTGGTTGTAATCACTCTGTTAAAGAACTTTGGTTCCACCATGACAAAAACAAAAAGGCAATTTTTCTGGTAAAAGTATTTACATTTTCACAGACAGTTAGCTATGCCCTTGATCATTTTACATTACAATATGTTTTAAGGGAATTAAAATTGCACTGGTATTGTTGCAACTTCTTTGCAAAATAAACAAAAATAATCCATAATATTTCTGTTGCTAATTATTGTTCACAATTATCGGGCAACTCCTCCTGTGTAAATTTACACTGGTACAATTTGATATCATCAGCTAGCACTGGTAAAATGTAATTTAAATTAATTAACAACTTCCTATCCCTCTGTTTTAGGTTCAAAGACTTCCTAGGGCTCCATTTTGCCCTGCGGAAGCCTTTTGATGCTTGGGGATGGGTGGGGAATTCTTTAATCAACAAAAATTGCTGCCAGGATTGGGACTGCAATTGGCAATCCAAGTGGCAATTCCCTTTGCCCCAAACATCCTGAGGCTCCTGAAGGCTTCTTCAAGGCAAAAAGAAGACAGCCTAGACCACCGTGGAACCTAATGTTCAACTAATTTAAATTAAAATTTCTGATGCCAGCTGATGACATAATCAGCTTCCACCAGTATAAATTCATGTCAGCAAGATTTTGGCCTCTGTGAAAGCCCAGCATCCAACTCAGATTCCCTCCGTGTTCCACCAGTAGTACACAAACTAGTGGATGAGAATCACTAGGGTAGGGAAATTGTTATTATTACAACTCAGTGAATGGAACAGGTTTTAGTGCCATCATTCTGCCCATCTTTCTGTTGTTCTCATGGAGGAAGACTAGACAATTTATATGTAAACTAAAATAAATATTGTCCATAATGGTATTTATACTGATTTTGTACATTTATACAACTGTTGTATGAACAGCCTTTTAAATGATATATGGCCTTTACAGGTAGTCTGTAAGTATTTAAAATAATATTAATATTACAAGGAAGCAAGAAGAGACAAGATATGAGATTCCAAGAGGTAAGAGTTCAGCTGCTGGCTGTTCAGTAAAAGTAGGTAAGCAGTATAAATGAGCAGTCAGCAGCCTGCTGGTTCATGGCACACAGAAAGTGCTGAAAATCATGTGTAAACAATAAGACAGGAGCTGTAGTTATAGGAAATGGGAATGAGAAAAAAGCTGTCCCAAGTTCAACAAACCACCTAAGAAGCATAGGCCAGACTAATTGTAAAAGGGATATTGTGCACGAAAACTATGGATCCTATACACTATCATTTGCCAAGGGTGTCAAAAGCCAGGTTTTGAAGTATGAATGCAAAGGGTTGTCAGGCCATGTTCCTCAATATTAAAACATAGGGTTTTTTTTGTAAGATTATGCGATTCATGTTGTCTAGCTGTTGGCTAACTTGAAAAGATAAATCAAATCTATGGCTTTTTCTTGAAAGCATGTTCTTCCAACTAAGAACAAAACTATGCTTATGGTTAGAGCTGATGCCAGCATTCATGATATGTGACTGAGGCACGCTTAAGCAGAATAGGATTTCTGGAGGAAGAACTATCTTCATGTCCTGAAGAGCAACTACAGAAAAAAGCAAGATGACTTGCAAAGTGTCACAGCTATGAAAAGCTCCTGCTGTGACAATCAAAAGGCCTTACTGAACTTGAATAATTCCTTCATCTACGGGAGGCTTATCTAGATGGAGTATTTGTTCCCCTTAATGTGCCAGACTGTGCCCTGATTATATTCATGCTTTTCCAGGCAACAAAAGACTTAAATCTAAATACCATCTCCTGTAGGTGGTTTTTGTTGTTGTTATCCTTGTTTTTGGTTTCTACTCGGCACAAATCAGACAGCAACATCTTCCTGGCTCTGAAGTGTGAGTACAGTAATAAATGAAAATAACAATCCAGCACAGATCATTCTTTATATAGGATCTCCTCATAATTTTTGAAAGTTGCTGGGGAAGGACAGCTGGTTTCCAAAGTAGATTTGCAATGGGATTAGCCTCTTCCAGAAAGGCTTCAGATTGGAAGCCTTCAGTGATAGTGCTAATCTATTTGTGGAGCGGGGAAGCACAGAAGATTGTTTGGGAAGTGTGTCCAGTGGTTTTTTTTTCCCCAGATTATTCCTTGAAAAGATCTTGATTAGACATGGGAGTTTTGTATTCGTATCCTGGGGGATACAAATACAAAGCTCAGCATCACAGGTGTCACGGCGGTCCATTCCCACCTCCCAGAAGCAGCCCAGTCCACTCATCAGGCTTCTCGCTGACCACTCTGGTAAGGAGGCTGGAAGACAAGCCTCCCCGCTCAACTGCTGAGAGGTTGGCTGAGGGGAGAGGTGGGGTAGCACCGGCGGGACTACTTCCACGAGTGTGATTGCTGTTGGATGTGCATTTTGCGAAGAACCCAATGAGCGATTCAGGCTGGTTCTGGGGGGCAGGAATGGACCACCATGGCACCTGTGGTGCTGCGTGTCATATTCGTATCACCCAGAATATGAAGCTCCCATGTCTAATGTTGTTCTTCGTGGTCTCTGTGAATGCACACTGATGGGTTAATCTGCACTTACACAGAGGTTTCCGGAATCTTCTAGAGCTTAACACTCATTCGCCAGGACCGCCCCGCTAGTGGACAGGATCCGCCCATCCTGGCTAGTGCCTCAGTTCCTTTTTGCTGCCGCTGAAGTTTCTTCTCTCAGATGAGCTGCATTTGCCTCCTGCATTAAAAAAAGGAATCTTCTCATTAGAGATCTTCGGATAGTGAGAACCTTTGTTGTTCTTCCTCCTGCCACCGCCCCCTTTAATCCCCTTTTATATTTTTCATTTTTATGGCCTCCTCTGGAGCATTTAAACGATGCACTTCATGCCCCAATAAAGTCTCATTCATCGACGGCCACAATTCCTGTCTTCTATTTGGGTGAAGCTCACCAACCAGCTTCTTGCCCTTTTTGTAAAAAGTTTACGAAACAGGCACTTAAGCTAAGGCAGCAACGCCTACGATCTTATTTGTGGGAGCATTCCCTTTGCCCCATACCAACTATGGAACCTGCACCACTTTCTCAGGTTCAATCAGTTTCCCCAAGAGCCTCGGTTGCAACTTTGGCAAAATTGAAATCTAAGTCTAAGTCCATCACTAAGTCTACCACAGGTGCTTCGGCACCAAAGTCTACACCAGTACCAAAGTCTTCTCTGGTACAGTCCAAACAGTCCAAACCAAAGAAGCTTAAGAAATCATTCTCTGATTTATTCGCGAAGGCTTTCATGGCCAGGATCTAATGGTTGTTGTGGGTTTTTCGGGCTGTTTGGCCGTGTTCTAAAGATTCTTAGAGTCAACCCTCCCTTTCTTCAATTTGACCCGGACAAGGTCACCCTTTATCCCAATGTTTCTTTTGTTCCAAAGGTTGTTTCTATATTCCACCTTAAGCAACCCATCATTTACCTACATTTTTTCCATCGCCTGTTATTGACTTGGAGAGTTCTCTCCACCTCTTAAGACATTAGGCGAGCATTGGCCTTCTGTTTCAAGGACCGCCTCTTTCCGCAAATCCAAGAGACTTTTTGTTTCTCCGCACTTACCACAGAGGATGCTTTATCTCCTCCCAAACCATCTCTAAGTGGCTTGTATCAACCATCTGCCTAGCATATCAGCTGGCTAAGAAGCCTCTTCCAGTTGGAGTTAAGGCTCATTCTACAAGGGCAGTGGCTACTTCTGCAGCATTCCTCAGAGGCATTTCTGTCCCTGATATCTGCAAGGCTGCTACGAGGTCCACGCCATCCACCTTTGCCTCTCATTACCACTTGGACCTCTGGGCTAAGTCGGATGCTGCATTTGGATGAGCGGTCCTATCGTCTGTTCTTCTGTGACGTCCCTCCTCCAGTCAGGTAAGCTTGTTATCACCCATTAGTGTGCATTCACAGAGACCACAAAGAAGAGAGGTTACTTACCTGTAACTCTGGTTCTTTTGAGTGGTCATCTGTGAATTCACACTTCCCACCCATCCTCCCCGCTGTCCGTCACGTCCGTTTCATTTTATTCAGCAGCGGGCAGTTGGGAACTGAGGCACTAGTCAGGACGGGTGCATTGGGGGGCGGTCCTGGCAAACAAGTGTTAAGCCCTAGAAGATTGCAGAAACATCTGCACAAGCGCAGATTGACGCATTAATGTGAATTCACAGATGACCATCCGAAGAACCAGAGTTACAGGTACGTAACCTCTCTTTTGAAGAGAAGTGGGATTTTAGGTATATATATGGACGCAAACCTTTGTAAGATCTGCACTCCTTTAGCACCAAGCAGCACAAGCCGAGGGAAACAGTGCTCCATCCTGATGAGCCCTTGTGGTGCAGTGGTTAAACTGTAGTACTGCAGAAAACTTTGCTCACTACCTGTGTTTGATCCCTATGGATTCTGGTAGCCAGTTCAAGGTTGACTCAGTCTTCCATCCTTCTGAGGTTGGTAAAATGATACCCAACTCATGGGGGGAGGGCAGTGTGTAGCCTGCATAATAACCTTGCAACTATGGAGGGCTGGGAAACCCTCTGTGACTGGTGAAGCAGTACAGAGGGGGCTTCAGGGAGGAAGGAAAGAGAGAGAAGTTCACTAGGAGCACAGTAGATGCAGCTGTCTACAAGGGATATTTGCTGACTTCATCAGTTGATAAGTTACTTGTCCAAAAAAAATGATAGTTTCCATAATATTCTTGACCTTTTGCAACATACACATTTCTTCACTCTAAACTGTTCATCCAAGTAACATTTTTTTGGAAAGCAGTATTTCTGCCTGTAGATAACTGTGAAATTAGTTACTATAAACAGTTCAACAGCAACCCATTGCCTTAATCTTTTGTCTGTTTACAAAATATTTTCTAGAACTCCAAGCATGGGATCTGCTAGTTCTGCCATTTTGGATGGACTGAAGAAAAGGAGGAGCTTTCTCATGAATTTGGAGGGCATCGAGAAGACCATAAAGACTGGTGGAAGATCCCTTACACAAAATTCCTTGCTTCAGTTGACTCCAGTCATGAACGTCTGATTCTTTCTTCTGACAAAGTTTTGGGAATTCCTTTGTTAATATGTTAATACATTTACTGTAAATATCTTAAGCTATCAAACACCTGAAGTAGATGATAGTATACTCTTTTCATAATCTGCATGCTTTTTTAAATAAATGTTTTTCAGTGTCCTTTTTCTATTATATTGTGTTAATGCTTCTTGTATTGCAAAAAATAATAGACTAAAGTTATAAATAATGTTTGTCTTCATAACTCATACATGATCCAAAAGGTTCCGATTGCTATGTGATGAGACCAGTATATCATTACAAGGGAGTGATGCTAAATATGTTGTGTAGAAATGATCCCAAAATTGTGCATTGTGCATATTTTCTAGCTGTGTATTCTCTAACCAAAACTCCAAATGCATTTTCATAATAAATCAAAATACTATTTAAGTATACATATGTGCACTCTTAAGCACAGAGAAGCCAGGTCTACTGAAATCAGTGAGACTTGCCAACTAAATGTTTTAAGTCAACAGCACTCAAAAATTCCTCTGTGAACTCTATTCAATCCGTTGGTTACAAAAATTCTAGAGTGCATGGTTCTTTTTATTTTGCAGGAAAGTCATTGTGAACAAAATTGAGTGCATACCCTAAAATATGTCCAACTCTCCCCCTCTTGGTGTGTATCACAGAAGAAAGATAATTGCATTTCTCTTTTTTCAGAAACTTGGTAGTATTTGCCCAGCAATACTGATTGATCATATGATTCCTGATAAACGTCTATTAATCTGAAAACTAATTTAAATTGCCATAAATGTATTGTGTTCTGTGTACTTTTAGAACATTGCTGAAGAAACATTCCCATTAACTGAGCTTGCAGATAGACTTAACATTCATGATGTTCATTTTTCTGTAAGCTAAATATACATTTATTACACATACCATGTTTCCTGAAAATAAGACAGGGTCTTAAATTAATTTTTGCTCCAAAAAACACATTAGGGCTTATTTTCAGGGGATGTTTTATTTTACAGTCATGTTATCTTCTTCTGATTGCTGCATAATGCGGCTCAATGGTGGAGGGTGGGGTTTCACTTAACTGGGGCTTATTTTTGGGGTAGGGCTTATATTACGAGCATCCTGAAAAATCATACTAGGGCTTATTTTCAGGGTAGGTCTTATTTTCAGGGAAACAAGATATATATTTTTATTACCTACAGTATTTCATATATTTTCTTTTAGTGGCACAGCTGTCAAATAGCATGTCCTTAGAATTTCTCAGAAAAGCCTGCATTGTAAATAAATACAACTTTAAGTTTTATTTATGATTTCTATTTTTCAAACTTCATGATTACAAAAAATTCCTACATTTCTTTGCTACTGAGACTATATCTGCACTGAGTGTCCAAATAATCACGCTGAAGTGTAATATTGCAATTCAGTCTTAAAATGCACACTGAAGTTACAATTCTAGCATCAGTTAGAAAGCCCCATCAAATTCAGTAGATCTTTGTTCTGGATGAACAATATCTGTATTATCAGATGTAAATTCCATTGACCTTTTTTAACATTAGGATTTCGTTCTATATAAACTGGTTTAGGATTGCTGCTTAGCAGCGTATCTCCATTTACTGAAAAATAGTTATCCTACATAGGACTGCATTACAACTTGCAACATGACAAACACTGGGGTTTTTTCAAACTATAGCAGCAGAACTGGAGAAAGGGGAGAAAAGCTTGTGAGGACACTTAACTCCTGTGTTTTCTATTCATTCATTCATTCACATCAAAATTACCACAACCTCTATAAAGGGCTGCCTACCCCAGGAATCAATGCAGTGTAATAAATAAAAGTGCCAGGTTAGGATTACGGAGACCTTGGTCCAAACCCTTGCTTGGCCATGAAAACTCACTTGAGGTGGCAGCAATGGTAAACCACTCCTTGAATATCGTAAATACCTCAAAAATGTGGGAGTTGCCATAAATCAGAATTGATTTGATGACACATTAACAACCACCTTAGGAAATTCATAATTTAACCATGGACCAGCCATTCTATCACATCTTAACCTGCTTCATAGGGCAGATTGAAAAGAATACCTGTGTGCACTGCTTTGAAGAAAGATGGGATGCTGGAGGTGCACAGGACTGTATGTCTGATACTGTGTTACCCAGTCAATACAGCATTCGATAAGCCATTGCTTACAAGAGAGGGTTGCTCAAATAAAAACTTGTGTTTTTAAGATTCTGGAACTGGGATCACATTTGGCAGTGGTGGTACACGGTATAGGCTTGCTTCATGCCAAACAAGAATTTTGGACAAATACTTTAACATTCCAAACCCTCCGTGAACTCATTTTGCTATCAATTTTTCCCAGTTTGTAGCCTCTTCTACAGATATTTTTCAAATGCCTATCTGCTTCCTGAAAAGTAAATGCTTCCCATTACATTTTTTTTTTAAAAAATGATAAGTTCATCTGGCCTGTTTTACATAGAGAATGTTCCATAAAAGTTCACTGACATACTCTGTAGCCGTTGCCCAGACATTCTGCCAGGGCTTTGGGAAACTTAAATCTCGTGCTGTGCTTCATTGAGCTCAATTGAACTTATTTCTGGCAAGAGAGTACTGTGGTACAGTACTGAGGCCTCAGGACAGGAATAAGGGTCATTGCACACACAGAGTGAGAAAGGGGGCTACAGAGGGATGGGGAGAGTGAAAAGGGGGGAGCCATGCCACAGAGGAGACAGACAGAGAGGAAAGATTCACTAGGTGGGAAGAGGAGATGGTAGAGAACAAGAGAGAGGGGGAAAGGAAAAATAGCAAAAAAAATGAGAAAGGGAGCCACAGAGAGATTGTTAGAGCTATAGAATCATAAAGTTGGAAGGGGCCTTTAAGACCCCAGAGTCCAACCCCCTACTCAACGCACGAATACAAATCAAAGGATATCTGCCAGATAGTTGTCCAAATTTCTCTTGAATGCCTCCAGTATTGGAGCACTCACCACCTCTCCATTGCCATACTGCTCTAACACTTAGGAATTTTTTCCTGATATTCAATCAAAATCTGGCTTTCTGTAACTTGAGTCCATTGCTGCATGTCCCGCACTCTGGATAGATGGAGAACAAATCGTGCCGCTCTATATGGCAGCCTTTGAAATACTGTACAGTATTAGAAAAACACTACAGTATTTATTTATTTGATTTGTATCCCGCCCATCTGGTCTATGTGAGCACTCTGAGCGGCTATCCTATCTCCCCCTCAGTCTTCTTTTCTAAAGGCTAAACATACCCAGTTATTTCAGTTCTTCCCTCACAGGGCTAGGTTTCCAGCTGACCCTTGCTGCCCTCCTCTGAACTTGTTCCAATTTGTCAGCATCATTTTTGAAGTGCGGTGCCCAGAACTGGACTCAGTACACACAAGACGAGTGAGGCCTGCCTAACCCGTGCCGAGCAGAGGGGAACGAGTACCTCGCGGATACCGTTAGCCCTGAGCTTTCTCCTTTATCCAGTCTCCGAGGCTTCTGCCCAGGCCTTGCCATTACGCCCCAAGAAAGAAAGAAAGACAGACAGACAGACACAGACAGGACGGCATTCTCATGGACGGAAAGCGAATCTTTCGTAACCCCGTTCCCCTCTTCCCACGTGCGCGTCTCTCCCGACCGGCCAGGGCACGGGAATTGAGAGAGAAAGAGAGACGGCAAAGCACATCCGCCCTTCCCGGCCCGGCCCCTCCAGGAGAGGCGGAGCTCCGAGGACCGCAGTCGGCTGCTGCGCCGGGGCCTGGTGAGGCCGGCATGGGATGGTGGTGGCGCTGCCTGAGGCATCAGCGCACGAGCTGGCAGGCCCTGCGGGCGTCGCGCTTCCCGCCTCGGACGCCCTTCGTCGGCCCTGAGGAGGGTCGCGGCACCTCGACCGCCTCCTCCTCTTCGTCGTCTTCTTCGCCGCCCTTCGTCGCCTTCTGCTCGCCCCCCTGTTGCCGAGGTCGAGCCGGTCTCGGCGCCACCCCTCGCCACCATGCGCCGCCTCTCTTCCGCCTAAGCGCCGCCGGGGCGGGGCTCTTTCCTTTCACGCCGGCCTCGGTCGTGGCCAGTCGCCTTTGCCATCACCTCGCCGGCCCGGAGTCCCAGGAGATGCCCTCCGCCCCTCGCCTCGACGACCAGAGTGAGGACGAATTCGAACCCGAGACCCCCATGGCGTCCGAGACCGCCCTGGAGAGCAGCCACGGCAAGAAAAGCAAGGTGGTCGGGATGGGAGCGGGTGCGGGGGCCGAGGGAGGCAAGGGAGACACGCACACACACACGTTATGTAAGGCCGGCTGGGCCTCGTGGCTGGAGGCAGCGAGCTGAGGAAAAAAGCAGCCGGGCCCCGAGAGGGAGGAGCCGAAGGCGGGGAAGGCCGCGGCGCAAGAGGGCGGCTTTCTGTGGGAGCCGAGCGGCCTCCTCGTGGAAGCTTCGCGTGGGGAGGCCGGCGCTCTTGCGTTGGCCGGAAGGCCGGGGGGGGGGGGGTGCCTGG